TTGGTTTCAAAATAATCTGGGAAAAAGAATGGGTCACCATGGGAGATGAGGAGATGTAATGACTGTTTTCACCAACACTTGCTGGTGCTGGGTGATCAGTTCTGTCATCTTCTATATATATATACATGTTTAAAATTTCCTCCACAAATCATCTTTAAAAGGCCTTAAAATGTGACTAGCCTTCTAGATTCATGCTATTCAAAGTAGCCAGTTCAAACTCAACGTTTCTTTATTTCTTTTGGAGAGGCAGCTGAAGCCAGGAATCTAAGCAGAAGATCCCATTCCACTCTATTTTATTACTCTCAGGACAGCTCAGAGTGGAAAGAAAATAAACCCAATTTCAGAATCTTCTTTGTCCTCAGCTACTTGGGAATTCTCTCTGACACTACTGCAGGCATTTTAAGTAACCCTGCTTACCCAGCATTAACAAAGCACCTTTCAGGCACCCAGTGGATAAAATAGCTCTGTCTCTCCTTCTTTTGCTGGCATGACAAAAGCTTTAGCTATTAAATACCAGTGCTCAGTGAGCTAATGACTGGTGAGCCCGTAATTGTGTTTTTGGCATTTTAGGATCTGAGCCTCGGCCCTGTATGAACTTGTAATCTTCATTGTGTAGCCTTGTTAAGTTTGGTTGCTGAGTTATTTGTTGGCATTCAATACTAAGGAACTCCAAAGCCAAAAACTGACCTCTGCACATTTCAAGTTAGTCAGGAGTCATAGGGTAGCATTGTATGTGTCTGTATGTGTTTGTTTGTGTATATTTGTGTGTGTGTGTGTGTGTGTGTGTGTACTAGGGCTTGAACTCTGAGCTCTATCCTTAGCTTTTTTCACTCAACGTTGGCATTCCACTACTTGAGCCACAGCTCTACTTGCAGGTTTTTGGTGGTTAATTGGAGATAAGAATCTTACAGACTTTCCTGCCTAGACTGGGCTCAAAGTATGATCTCAGCCTCCTGAGTAGCTTAAATTACAGGCTTGAGCCACCAGCACTGACAATTAGTTGTTTTTTGGTTAGTTTTTTTTTCCAATAAAGATATAGCTTACCCTTAATGTGGAAGCTGACCACAACTTCATGAGGTTCAACAACTTTTGTTTGATTAACCCTTTCCATGTGTAGCACTGTCATTTGGATGTAAGCCAAGAAGTAAAGGTTCTTATTAATCCTTTGGCCCTAAGGCTGCCCTTCCTGAATTAATTTCCTTTCTCTGGTTTCTCCAAAAAGATAATTTCAACTTCCATTCAGGTTTCTTATTTTCCCTCTGGAATCGATTTCAAAGGGTGAAGCATACTCCTTTGTATAAGCTTAAACACTTTTGAACAAGGATTCTGGTGAGTTTTATGAGAATTCTTTCCTTCCCCTTAAATTAAGACATGTTCCAAATTAGCCAGAGAAGCCCACTAGATGCCCCTTGGGTTCTTCCCTTTATCTCTGGCCAAAGGGTCTGTAGAATTGTAGCTAGGAAAGAGTAAGGCTCAGCTCCTGCTCAGAGGAACACAGATGCACGGCAGACCCTTCTGGGATCCAGTGATGGGGGTTTGCCATAGGGGCATCAACCCCGTGCTCTAGAGGTAGAATTGGCATTGGAATGTCCAGGGCAGACTGTACAGGGGTTGTGAGGTATTTCAGCTCAGGGCTGAACCGATATATTGAATCCTCTTGGGACCCCAGTGTGCCTGGTAGGAAGCTCACTCTGATGTTTCCTTTGAGACATGAGCAGTTCTGGGAATATTCTAAAATTAGCCTGAGAAGGTGGCCTGACCTGCCTTCATGGCTGCAGGTGTCTTATGACCAAGATGAGTCACATCCCCTGTGCTGTTCAGGTGTGTCTCTTGAAAGCTTGTTCTAGGACTTTCTACATAGGGGCCTGTGATGGCTGACTGACAAACTGATGAGCAAGCACTTTTTCTCTCCCGGAACAATCCCTGCCACTCATCCTAGCAGCTGAGAAACAAGGACTCAAACCTCTTCCCTGGGATGTTCGTCTCCAGCTCTCTTGAGCAATCACAGGTCAGCTCTGCAGCCCCTTGTGGGGCTCTGTTAGCACTTGTTTCCATTGCCCAAGAAGATTGTTTCCGATACCTCAGCAGGCAGGCGTAATGGCTTCAGGAAAGTTCAGAAACTCAGTAACCTTGTGTAGAAATGTGAGGGACAGTTGCTCTGGGCTCAGGCCTAAGCAGGCCTGGACAGCTGAATTGGGATGTGGTGTTGATAAAGCCAGCCGCACAAGGCTCAGCCTATGGATGTGGTGGTAGTGGTGGTGGTGGTGGTGGTGGTGGTGGTATGTGTGTGTTTTGGGTTGGGTTGAACAGGGCTGTGTGAGGAGGATTCTTCCCAGAAAGGGTTTGCTTTGCTGAAATGAATGCACAGGTGCTCAGCATACGTGGGTCCTAGACAGCACTGTGGAGCAGGCTTTCTCACTCTGGGCTGAGAAAGTCCCACTGCGTTTGCCATATTTATCAGCAATATTTGTCCTGGAAACAAGGCTTTGTTTCAACCTCGGGTGTTTCCCAGTGACCACTATCATAAGACCTACATGGACAGGCCATGTCAACTCACGTTGAGGGAATGGTGTAAGAGCCAGGTTGTGCCAGTTCTGTCCTTACCTCCTTGGGCTAGGCAGAAACCAGCCCTTTCCCTGGGGCCTGGAAGGCCAATGACCTTTTCTTCTCAGATCCCAGACAAAGAACTAGACCCACGGGAGCCCTGACACAGTCCACTTGTGCAGGAGACTCCAGGGAGACTTGGCTGCAGATGCTGGAGAAGCCACGGTGAGGGGGCCACCATGGCTGCCCACCAGGTGGCCTACAGCCAGGGCAGCAAGGGGAATGTCCAGGTCACCCGATGTCCCCTGCTTGATGTGTAGCCTCCTTTTTGCTGACAACTCTTGTGGTTTCCCTCCAAACACATCTGTTGAAAAAACAAGTTATAGACCACCCCAAAGCCAGAAGTAGAGCTATGACTTAAATGGTAGAGCACTAGCCTTGAACAAGAAAGCTCAGAGACAGTGCCCAGGCCCTGAGTTCAAGCCTGAGGCCTGGAGTGTGCGTACACACACACACACACACACACGCATGCACGCACGCACGCACGCACACACCCCGAGGCTGGAAGCTGGTACTGGGGAAGATGGTTTTAAGAGTGCTGCCTTTCACCTGCAGACAGTCTGTCTTGTCGGTGTGGAGCCATGCTCTTGTCTATACAAAGGGCTTTTCACCAGTTATGCTGGAAATTCACTTCCCTCCAGTGTTCTAGCTCAGAGGGGTTCAGAAAGGGGTAGAAAGCTGCCTTTGTTTCCCCCAGGACCCTCATCATGTACCAGGCTTCCAGTGGATCTTGGGTGTACCCATACAAACCCTGCGTCTCTTTCTCCTGGTTATTAATGTTCCTACTAAGTATTGCTTTAAGACAGAACCCAGGAGATGTCACCTCCTCCCTAGTTACCCTCATGGATATGAAGGCCCATTACTGATTTTATGTTTTTAGAAGCTCTCCTCTCTCCTTCCCCTGACCCTGACTTTCCTGGCCATCCATCACTGCCAAATTCATGTCTCCACATCTCCCTGACAGGTTCAGCTGTCCCTAGCCAATCTTTTTCTGTGCTGCTGGGAACCTCTTAATTCCTTGGACTGCAACATGATCCAGGCTGGACAGAGACCAGCCGGGAGTTGTTCAGTTCCTCAGCGTGGCCCTTAGGGCCCTTTACAACTTGAATGACTTCATCTTCCTCCCCAGCCCAGAGATTTTTTTTTAATGGCTTCATGCTTTCTTGTCAGCCCTTCTGTCCAGCCCATTCCAGCAGTGGTCCTCAGAGCCCAGCTGCACATCGGTCCCTCTGTGTCTGCCTCTAACATCTCCATGTCTTCTCACTCTCTCCTCTGAGTGGGAAACTCCAGCATATGCTTTCAGACCCAGCTCAATTTCTGCTGTGAAGCTATGCCTCTCTCCTCCCACTAGAAACAATTAATTGCTCCTTTATATTTGTCTCATAGTGCTTGATTTGTAATTCAGTTATACCACTGATATTATACAGCAGTTGGTGATTTTTTTTCTCTCGCTCTGTTTGCATACATAATTGAGACATAATGGTGAACTAAATCAGCCTGACCCCTGCCTTCATGGAGCTTTGCTATTTGTGGCCTCATTTTATTTTAAGGTTCTTGTGGAGAAAGGTTACCTGTGTTTTTGTTTGTCTGTTACAGACCCTGGCACACAATACCAGTTGCTCCATGAATGCTGAGTGAACTCTAATATGGGGCAGGAGTTCTTACGGGTACAATGTGCACGGAAAGCTTTGGACAGTCATATTCTCCTCCCTTTAGTTTCTAAAAGAGAGCTACATTTTGAGCTGGGCACTGATGGGTCATGCTTGTAATCTTAGCTACTTAGAAGGCACAGATCTGAGGATAGCAATTCAAAGCCAGCCCGGACAGAAAAGTCCATGAAACTCTTATCTCCATCTAACTTCCAAAAATTGAGACGTGGAGGTGTGGCTCTGGTGGTAGAGTGCCAGTTGTAAGCAAAAAAGCCAAAGGATAGCCCAGGGCCTTGAGTTCAAGCCCCAGCATGGTGCACACACACACATATACACACACTCACAGACAGCTGTGTTTTTATATGGAATTATCCCATGTATGGGCCCCATCTTCATAGGGCTGAGGTAAGTTCTAAGACTTAAAAAAAAAAATCTGTATTGGGGAGGTAGGGAGGGAAGGGATGGTAGGGGAAAAACAAAGGAGGAGGTAACAATGCTCGAAAGGAACTGGACTCATTACCTTACTCATGTAACTGTAACCCCTCTGTACAGTATTTTTTACAATAAATAACATTCAAAAAATGAAAAAAAAACTGTATAACCCAGAGATGTGTTTTTTTTCCCTCCTTCTGAAGTGTGTATAGAATACCGGGTGACAACAATTGGTCTGATCACACCATCTCGTCCTCTCATTGGTGGTTTGGAGCCTGGCTGCCCTAATCACATGCCTGTCTTGGTTTCTTTCAGCGATCTGAAGCTGGACAATGTGCTGTTGGATCATGAAGGTCACTGTAAGCTGGCAGACTTTGGGATGTGTAAGGAGGGGATTTGTAATGGAGTCACCACAGCCACGTTCTGTGGCACACCTGACTACATTGCTCCAGAGGTGAGTGTACCTGTGGAGCCCTCCCTGACCACAACCATTGCCACAGGCTGTTTTCGTGTGCCACAGCCATGCAGGCAGTGCTGGCGTGAACGCCTCCAGACGTTATGGTTCACTGGGCGGATGGGCTGAAAATGTCCGAGGTTCATGTAAATAAAATTTGGGGCTAAAAATAATTATAAATTTTGCAGTTGCTTTATTCACTTAAATGAGGGCAAAGTATGTTCCACTCATGGCAACCTAGTTCATTTTCCTTCTTGTCTCTGTGTAGTGGTTTAATGCCAGCCTCATTTAGCAGATCTAAAGACAAGCTTTTGAGTCTCATATGAAGGAAAGAACGCAGTCTCTTCTTCTCTCTGTTTTGTTAGTTCTCTCTCTCT